ACTTCAATATTTGGCCTTGAGCTTGATTTTGAGAATTTTGAAGACATATATTATAGCTTCATTTCTATTCACTGCCTCAGGAAACAGTAGCACTACTCAGACTGAATTGTGATTGTGCTTGTTTAATAGAGCTTGGGCCATTATACTGTTTGATTTGCCAGCTTCATGGCCACACTGTTGACTCACTCTGTTTGTCATTCCAGCAATCTTTCATTGTGACACAACTCCTTTCTCAGAATTCACATTATATATGTGTGACTTTGATTACTTTTTCCAACATGGCCCATACTGTATTTGTTCACATTAAATCTTCATTCATTGATTCCAGTCCTGTTTTTTCAGCATACAAAACCAGGGTTGTACTTAATTCTTACTCTGTAACGTGCTAGAAATCATTGCTAGAGTGGTGCTGCCTGCAGATGTGATATATCTGCTCTGAACTCTAGTGTTCAGGTTGCTAATAAATAATAACCGCATGAAGAGTTGACACAGAAGGAGACCCTTGCAGGACCTCACTAAATACCCATCGTTTCAGTCTGGCATACTGAACCATTAAGAACTGATCTCTGCTTCTGACATTTTCTGCTAATCTCTATCTGTTTTTACAACATATGGTCTTTCCTGAACCCTAATAACATGTTTCATGGAATGTTATCTTTTACAAAAAAAAAAGATACTGTATGTCACTTCTGTTTTATTTGCCTATGGTGACATGATTCCTATGGATTGGATCAAGTTTAGAGAAATAGATTTCTAGCAGTGGAAACTTGCAGCTTGAACTCTCATTATATCTCACAAATTGATGCCTTTCAAATGTGTTGTACTAAAATATCCATTACCCATATTCATTGGCCATGCAGGCTAGGAGCCATAGCCCAACACAAGTTAGAAAATATTGACTTAAAGTGTAGTCATATCAATAAGCTAGAAATGATAAGAGACCAGATTTATTTTGTTTGCATGATTTATTTATTTATTTATTTCACTTACTTATACCCCGCCCTTCTCACCCCGGGGGGGACTCAGGGCGGCTTACAGAGGAGGCACAATTAGATGCCCAAATCAATTGACAAGCAATACAAAATACAAAACAATTCAACAGTTAAATTAAAACATCAACACATAATAAAATAATAAAACACTCTCATGCTCAGGGTTCAGAGTCCATATATCCATTCCATTCCATTTGTCCTTGTCTATCGTCAGATCCTTAAGTTAGTTGTCAGAATGACCAAAGGCTTGGTCCCACACCCAGGTCTTCAATTTTTTCCTAAATGCCAAAAGGGAAGTCGCCGATCTGATCTCCCCGGGGAGTGAGTTCCACAGGTGGGGGGCCACCACTGAGAAGGCCCTGCTCCTCGTCCCCGCCAGCCTCACTTGTGACAGTGGCGGGGTCGAGAGCAGGGCCTCCCCAGAAGATCTTAAGCTTCGAGATGGGATGATCTCAATGTCTCAATGATCTCAATGTCATGATCCTCACAGAGAAACACAAATGGGGAGCAAAATAGAAACAGCAAAAACTGGCATCTCTATCATAGAATGACATATCCTATTCTACATTGAAATCAATACCAAATCCAATAGTTGAGAGATTTCATCATATATTGTATACATAATTCCTCAATAAGTAGAAAATTCTTCAGTATATTCAGTACTGTTTCATGTATGTGCAGATCATTGCACTATTCATGCATCTATAAAGGATTTGGGTTATTATCTTTAAAGGGCATGATTCATTATTAGGATATTTCTGAAATGTGGGGTATTTAGGGCAAATGAAGATCAGTCAGGGATGGCTAATTTAGAGAGAAGAGATGCAATGTAGATTGCTTTTTTGTTTTTCTTGTGAACAAGTGGATAGTCAAAATGTGGAAATGTAAAACAAGATTTGGGGTGCCTTCAAATGGCAGTGGTCTTTGCACTACCAGTATTCCTGGTTCCACTCCTTAATTGCTACTAGTACAACTATTGTTACTTCCTCTTCCAATTCTTGTTTCTCCCCTTCCTTCACTTCTTTCCTCTCCTCCTTCTTTTTCTTCTTCTTTAGTGGAGAGAAAAAAATAAGAGGGCAAACTCTGGACAGTTATAAATGGAAGAAGTGACTGTCCAGATTTCTCCCAAGGAACATAGTTATATGTCTACATTTGTGTTGACCTTGAAGTCAATTCTTCTCATCAGTACCGTGCTCATTTTTTCCTCCAATAGCTATTCTACAGTTCTGACCTTCTCTCTCTCTTGCTATTCTGTTGCTTCTTTGTCCTGCTGGTCATCTTGCTGTCATTCACTGTCTCACATTTTAGACATACTGCTATTGTAGTCTCTTCCTCTTAGATTCTAGCTATAGATCAAGCATATGTTCACGAGATGAGTTGGGGAAGGGCAATTCTAGGACTTCAAAGGCATACTCCATTTTTTTGACCCCCCATCCCTTCTAGATGGGCATTGTGGTGATTTTCTTTTCAATGTGCTTTCTGGTCTTTAATGTTTGTTATCAAAATGGCTGATTCAACCTGTTTGGCTCAATACGGCCAACTTTGTATGTATGTATGTGTAAATTTGTGTGAATTAGGTGATATGGGATATTAATTGAAATATGATTGTGGGATTGATTATTTAAATGAAGGAAGACCTCATAGAACTGAAATGATGAGTCTGTAACCTTAAAATCCTTAGCAAATCCAACAGCCTAGAAACCTTTAGAGACCCATAAAACAATGGGAAAAAACTGGAACAGCTTTAAAAATGTACAGGAAGCTTGTCACAGATAGGGACAGCTGAGTGCTAGATTTTCTGAAAAAGGGACTCTGTGACATCAGGTATTTATCAGTATTAAAGTATATACAGTATATTCTGGCGTATAAGACTTCTTTTTAACCCAAGAAAATCTTCTCAAAAGTCAGGGGTCGTCTTATACGCGGGTGTAGTCTTATGCATGGGAGTTGTCTTAACTCTATATTTTAACTGGAAAAGTTGGGGGTCGTCTTATACGCCCAGTCGTCTTATATGCCGGAATATACGGTACTTTAATTTCATGCTAGTAGCAACATATGTGGAATAGTGGTTAGAATGCTGAAATGGGACATGAGAGATTCAGGTGGTGGTTAATGCCTCCCTCCGGGAAGGCAATATTCCAGCGAGCTTAAAACAAGCTGTGATAAAACCGCTGTTGAAAAAACAGTCACTGGTCCCCACTCAATTCATCAACTATCAGCCTGTTTCCATTCTTCCCTTCTTGGGCAAAGTCCTGGAATGTGTGGTGGCCTCACACCTCCAGGTGACTACACAGACGGATGGTGATGAACTACGATTTCATTTTGACGACTTGGCCTATGTAATTATATGATTAGTATTTTAATGTTTTAGTGTATTATGGGATGTGATGTTTTTAAACGATTGTCTGTGATACTGTTGTTGTGAACCGGCCTGAGTCCCTCTGTGGAGGTGAGAAGACCGGTATATAAAAGTTCTAAATAAATAAATAAATAAATGTTCTTGGAAGACATGGATTATCTGGATCTGACCCAGTCTGAGTTTAGGCCGGGATATGGAATTGAGACAGCCTTGGTCGCCTTAGTGGATGATCTATGCCGGGAGCTAGACAGGGGGAGCGTGACCCTGTTGGTTCTGCTGGACCTCTCAGTGGTCTTTGATACCGTTGACCGTGGTATCCTTCTGGGATGCCTCACAGGAATGGGCCTTGGAGTGGCTCCGATCCTTTCTATAGGGTAATTCCCAGATGGTGTTATTGGGGGACACCCCAAAACCATTGTCTTGTGGTGTTCCTCAGGGCTCTATACTGTCCCCCATGTTGTTTAACATCTACATGAAGCCACTGGGGGAGATTACGCAGATGATGTCCAACTCCATCACTCCTTCCCACCTTCTATTAAGGAGGCTGTTCAGGTCCTTAACCAGTGCTTGGCCGCTGTGATGATCTGGATGAGGGCTAACAAATTGAAATTGAATCCAGACAATACAGAGGTATTCCTGGTCAGTTGCAAGGCCGAACAGGGCATAGGGTTACAGCCTGTGTTGGATGGGGTTATACTCCCCCTGAAGGTGCAAGTTCGCAGCTTGGGTGTGATCCTGGACTCATCGCTGAGCCTGGAACCTCAGGTTTCGGTGGTGACCAGGGGAGCATTTGCACAGTTAAAACTTGTGTGTCAGCTTTTCCCGTACCTTACAACACTTCCCCTCCACTTCAGGAGGAATGGGGCTGGTCCAAGCCAGCATCATCTGATGACACTTGGCAGGCCCTGTCCTGAAGAGGGAAAAGGGGCCATAAAAACCCCATGTGAAGAGGTCCTGAGTAATCAGATAAATTTCTGGTGACTCATCCTGGCTCTGTTGGATGCTCTAAATCATTCATTAATTTTAATGCATTTTAGTTTGTTAGATTTTGATTATGCTGTATGTGTGATTGATTTAGATCTACCACGTCTATTTAATTACTTACCTTTTTGGCTAGTTACCATATGTTTTTATTGATGTGTTTGTTTACTGTTCTGAATTGGTTTGTCTTGTTTCTATTGTTTATTATGGCATTGAATGTTTGCCATCTTTTGTTGGAAACCATCCTGAGTCCTCCCAGGGAAATAGGGTGGGTTATAAATAAAGTTTTATTTTATCATTATTATTATTTCTAGATGTGGCAGAGTAGTACCAATAACTTAAACAGCTGAACCAGACTCAAAAGAAGGACACATATTTGTAGGATTTTTTGCCTATCTGACTTGGAAGCGGGGATGGGTGGGTATTTCTTCAGAAAAGATAATTACTGAAATTTTGAATGGGGCACATGTTCATATCACACATTGGAGAAAACTCTCAATTAGGGGAGAAAACTTTTTGTCTCCTTGGGCCCTTTCTAAAGGGAAGTCACAAGAGCTACTGCCAAATATATATATATCCACATCTAAGGTTTTCTAATCTGCACCATTTCAGCAAAAGTATCCACTCTATGATATCCAGACATTTATCTGCATAAACTTTACTTACAGGTGTTCCTTCAGGGCCTCGCAATGTGATCTCTATAGTCAACGAGACATCAATTATACTAGAGTGGCATCCACCTCGAGAGACAGGAGGCCGTGATGATGTAACCTACAACATTGTCTGCAAGAAATGTCGATCAGATCGCCGTAGCTGTTCCCGCTGCGATGACAATGTGGAATTTGTACCAAGGCAGTTGGGCCTCACAGAAACACGTGTTTTCATCAGCAACTTATGGGCCCACACACCATATACTTTTGAGATCCAGGCTGTGAATGGAGTTTCTAACAAAAGCCCATTCCCACCACAGCATGTCTCTGTGAACATCACCACCAATCAAGCTGGTAAGTGTCACAATTGCTGTTTTATAGGTTTTATGCACTTTCTTCTTGACATGAACATCAAGATAACTTTTAAGACACCACATCTATGTTTGTTAATTTAGTAATATTAACAATTTGCAGTGGGTTTCCAGAAAAATGTGCCATTTTTCCAGTTTTCTTTCTCCCATGTGTATTTGCATGCATGTGCCTTCAGGTCACTTGTCAACTTATGGCAACTCTGTGAATTTTATAGGGTTTTATTAGAAAATGAATGTTCAGAAGTGTTTTTTCTGGTTCTTCCTCTGAAATACAGCTTAGATATTCATTTGAAATTTTCCATTCCAATACTAATCGGAGCTTATTCTATTTAGTTTACAAGATCAGCTAAGATCCAGTGCCTTTAGGATATTTAGGTCCCCTCCCCATGTTGCTGGGAAAATTCCTTTAGCTATTTCTCTAATTGGAGAACCTATGGCATTGGTGGCTTCAAGTCTGGAATATTTAGCAAAATGCAGTATAGCACACATCATTTTCTTTCCTCAGCAGGTTGACCAGTCAAGGGGCAGCATAAGCTCTGGAAACTGCAAGCAACTGGGAGCCACTCAGCATTTTAATCATCTATTTTGCATTGTGGCATGGTAGGGAAATTTTAAATTATTGTAGCTTGCTCCTGCAAGTATTGTAAGTAAAGCCATTGCAGAACAAGCAAGCCTAAGGCAAGAACATCTTCCCAGATGACGAAATGCTGTGTTTAGAATGCTGGACCTTTTGAGATGCTCTTCTCAGAAGCACCATCAAGAAAGATGCCTAGATATAAATTTCAGATGAAGAACAACTGTACAGTTGGTACTCAATAGAAAAGTCACACAGAAATAATTTCAAGCAGGGTATATCTCATCTTCATTTTCTCCCTCCCAGATTCATTTCTATTAAATACGAGTAATTCCAGATATATATTTTTGCATTAACAATAGAAAGATAAAGAAAGTTGTAGAGAAGATGGGGAGTTAAGCAGATGACAGCAGATCTGGGGGTATGTGTACATGGATTCTGCATATCAGTCCAATAAAAAGGTGAGGGAGGGACAACTACCAGGTGGTGACTCTGGCTGAAAGCTTAATGAAGGGAAGAACTGACAGTTGAATGCAACAATAGATGACAATCTGTTTTGGCTGCAGAAAGAGGATGGTAATTTCTGCTTTGTATGAGACATGCAAAGGGAAATTCTTTGTTAATTCCACTCCCATGGGAGAGTGTGCAACAGAAACCTGGCGTAAATATTTTAGTATCCTGTCCTTCAGGAATCAGAACTCTGTCAAGTTGTCATGTTAGGTTTGTGCCTGCCGGATGTCATTTATATCTTTAACCAAGTACAACCCAACTTACCTCTTTCATTTGTGCCCTTTTGTCTGTTTTGCCTGCTTTTTCCTTTCTCCCTACATTTTGCCTTTGTCCACCCATCCACCTGCTTGACCATTCACATAAAGGACCTTCCCTCTCCTCAATAAGCTAATGTGACCCCCATGTGAACAATAATTTGGTCTGTTGTTTAATCTTGGATTCTCAAGAGTGCTATATCCTCATTATTGTTGAGATCTTACTATGGAGCATTTGCTTTCCCTTTTAGGTATAGTTTGCTATGATCCCTTGTCTGCCATCTCCCAACTCACCATCTGTCCATTCACTTCCTCCTCTTCACTATTTTTGCCACAGGACCACCATTATTTTGAAAACTTGATATTGGTATTGTATTTAGACATGGCTTGTAATTATCCAGCTGATGCACATTTGTTGTCAGTGCTTTTAAGGATGTGAGTGATGCATAAAAGACCACAAGGAATTTTTTTTGTAATAAGAGATAAGGTATTAGCACCCAGCACTTGTTTAAATAGGACAAAATGGGATGCCAAACACTAGAGGCTTTTAAAGAAAGGTTAATGGGAAGGCACAGAAGGAATTGAATGTGTAGATTTGGCACTGATTCAGACATGGATGCTTACCAGTTTAGTTTTGCTATCCTCCCTCCTTTTTTTGTTTTGTTGCTGACCTAAAAATGCAATTCATTTCTAACTGCAAGAGTGATTGCCTATGCAGACAATAATGGTAAAAGCACATTATTATAGGCAGCTGTATCCCCATGCGTTCACTTTCAATTGTGTGTGTGTGTGTGTGTGGGTGCATTCAGTGTCCACATGGGGCTTTATTAAAAACCATGCATGAAAAAGCAGACTCCCAGTAATGACAAATGATGTAGAAAATTGCTTGCTCTGATCCTACAAAAAATAGTATTTATGTCAACTCTCTTCTCTTTGATTAGTCTAATTAAGCAATTTTAACAGAAACAAACTTGAACGCCTTTCTCAGGTTCAAAGGAACTGATCAGTACCCTTATCTTAGCCATCTGTCTGCCCATTCACCCATATTATCCATCTTCACACTGCTTTTCTTTTCAACTGGTAACAGCTATCTCTCCATCTGTCCATCTTGCCATCCCAATAACCCTTCACCCAATGAGTTTTTATTTAATTATTTGTATTTTCAGGACACATTTTCATTTTATTCCCATCTTTTGATGCTTCTGGATGCTTCTTTTATGTGGTTTTCAGAATTTCTATATTGCTCACAGTTTTGACCTCATGCATGGCCAATTATTGCATTGTGAAATATTGCAAAATGGGGTATTCCCTATGATACTGGGCTGCAAAATATAAGTATAGCACATTGAATATTCTCAATGACAAAGTTATAATAATTTCTATAAATGAATACAGGATAGTTTGGTTTCCTTTTATCTCTCTTTCTCTCATCCTCCCTCCCAATCTGCCTTATGTGTGTGTCTTAGGGCCCTTCCACATAGCCCTATATCCCAGAATATCAAGGCAGAAAATCCCACATTATCTGAGTGTGGACTCAGATAATTCAGTTCAAAGCAGATATTGTGGGATTTTCTGCCTTGATATTCTGGGATATAGGGCTGTGTGGATGGGCCCTAAGCTAGTTCAGGCTAGAAGTCTGTTTCCTCTGGAAATTCTGCACTCTCATTTAGCAAAACCATCTAGATTTTGGCATCCATGTTTTAAAAAGCATTGTTATTGTTCTCCTCCACCACCACAGCCATCATCTCCAAACAGTTGCAGTACTAACTTTACTCATTGTGTATTACTTGTCATGTCATACTGTTTCAGTAAATTCTTTTCTCTTGTTCATTTGTTTGTTGTTGTTTTGCTTAGGGAAAAATATGAATTTATTTGATTTTCATTTTTAATATGAACTGGCCTAGTTTATTCTTCTTGAAATAATATATGAAAAGGAATGTAATTTTATACTTCTCATAACTTTGCAGTTTGGGAAAATCACATACAAAAAGACAAATGTTAAAGACAACTGCTGGAAAAAGATATGAATATTAAGTGGTATTGTGTACAAGCCTTCACCTGAATTTTCATGAAAATGCTCACCAAGATGGCCATAAAACCAGAAGCCACAGAATTCCACAGGCAGTTAGTGGAATCATGGTGTTCTAATTGTCTAGTCTGAAAAGGTCCCTGGTTGCTAAGGCAGTTCATTTTCCTGCTTTCTGTAACTGCTCAAGAAATAAGAAACAAGAGCAGAGTCAGAAGTAACCTTCATAAGCCCATCTCGCCCCTTGGAGAGGGTAGCCCAGTGGAAGAGTCAGGGGTATGGACAGTATCTTACTTACTTACTTACTTACTTAGGCGATCCCTCGTTGGACGAGTAAGATGGTCTTCCATTATGGATTT